CTTACTGAGATTTTATTCAATATTAATGTTTTTTCCGTTTCAGTTTACTGGGTTGAAATCATGAGTATGGTCACGGGCAAGGTTTTGGGACCCCTCACTTTATCAGCGCGTTAAATTTATAAATTTAAAAAGTTTTTAACTTTTTAATTTTTTTTATTTTGATTTTGTTATCAGGTTGTGAAACATTTATCATTACCTAAGCACAATAACGGAAATGCCATACTTATGCTGTCTCTTATACACATCTAATAAAATCAATTTAAAAAAAAATTAGAAAATCAAATTTAAAAACTAAGAGAAAAATAAACCAAAAGTATTAACCAAAAAATAAAATTAAAAAGCAATTACCAAATACATTTAAAAAACTTTATTATCATAAAATTATATAAAGGATACACTAAAAGTACATGATGGTGACGTGTAAATAGCAAAGCCAATAAAAAATTAGAAAAAAATTTAAGAGCTGTCATAATTAAAGCTTACAATTTAAGTACGCTAGCACATAAAAGTAAAAAATTTAAGATATAACAGATCAGGCTAGTATACACTGAAAAATAAGTCGCAAATTTTTTTTAAATAATATAATTTTTGCTAACAAGTGCACAGTTGCCAGAGTGAATTACAAACAAATACAAAATAAAAGGTTGTACAAAAGGAAATACAACGAATAAAAATATAAAAAATATACACATTAAACTAATGTACACACATATAAAGCATACATAAGTATAATTTAAAAAAATGGAAACACTAAAGAAAGTAAGAACACAAGATGGTATCATCAAGGGCATTCATCACAAACGTTTTGACTGGAAGCGACCAATTTGCGATACACCAATTCACTAGGTGGCCCAACACTCAATGTTTCGTTACCTCGTTTGCGTCGACGGGCTATAATGAAGGCCAGCATAAATGTTAGCGAAGCGAAAAGTAACATTAGAGATGCCACCAGTATGGCAGTGCCACCAGGATGATGTGATTTTGTTGTTAGCTGTGTTGAGATCTGTTCCATTTCAGGTGCGTTCGCACCTAGCGCTGGTTTGTCCGTGTTACTGACGTTAGATTTGAACAAAACTTCGTCCACATGATGTTCCGGGCCGGAGCGACTCAATGTGTTGCTCTTGCTAAGCGTAGTTGTTTTTGCAGCAGACAAAGGCATCGATTTCGCTAGGGTTTTATGTAGAAATTTATGTACACGCATCGGATTCAATTCGGCGACATAAATCTCATTGCCATCCTTGGTGACGGCCACGTCATGTGGATTTGAAAACTGCATATCATTAGGTCCGAACTTTGAGATCACCTGTTTGGTGCGCATATTGATCACATAGCCGCGTACTTCGTTGTAAGGTAGCGATCTGATGCCTAATTCACCGATTGGTCCATTAACAACAACAAGTTGACCGCCTGTACGTATTTTTTTATTATAAATTATTAATTATTTTGTAAAAATTTGACACACAAAAAATATATTTTTTAAATTGTTATGTTAATTTACCTTCCACTGGCGTATAATCCATGCTAAATAAGCGATCGCCTATAATTTGACTATGATATTGTGAATGGAATGTACCGTTGGTCCAATAGAAACACTGCACACGACCATTTTCACGATCAGCTGCGCAGATTAGCTGCTGTTCAGGCACAAGCGTGAGTGCGTGCGGAATGGCGAAGTAGTTCTTTGGCGCCACTTCGAAGGACATGCCTACATAAAGAATTTTTTAAGTTACTATGTAGTGTATATGAAATGTTTTAGTTACTCACCGGAGAATGAGTTTTGTCCCCATGAAAGGATTTTATTGCCAGCTTTGTCATATTTCAAAATACGTGCATTGCAGTAACCATCTGCGACGAAGAAATCACCATTCTCGAGTACGGCAACTGAAGTGGGTTTGCAAAATTTCGAATCACCTACGCCGGGTGTAAAAGCCGTACCCAAAGTCAGCAGGGGTTTATCATTAGAACCGCGTGGACCGAATTTGAAAACTTGATGCAGCGCCACATCGGTTACCCAAGCATTATCCTCATGATCGATGGTCAAACCATGTGGCATATAGAATCTAAAATTAATAATATTTAATATATAACATTTAATTTGTAGTATATATATTACAACTTACAAGTCCTTCCCCCAACCATATACGACATGACCACTTTTACGTTCTAATGCCAATACGGTATTAGCGCGTATGGGTCCTTTTTTACGTTGTTGAAAGACATTGCGGTTGTTGAACGTATTGCCATCCCAAATACGATCTACACGATGAAATATAACCACATTTGCTTCCTTGTCAAAACTTACCGCACTCACTGCACCCAATTTCAGCTCATCAGCTGGCCAAGCACTTTGATACACATAAGCTACAAGCAAGTTAAAGTACAATGTATATATATGGCATACTAAAGTTACTCACTTGTATTTAATTTCTCGATTTCTTCTTTCACATCGATTTTCTCAGCTTTTAATTTAGGTGGCTGTGGCCAACTTATATCAGCTGAGCCGCCTTGCATAATCTGTTGAATGCGCTTATTTTTGCTTAAACTTTTGTCATCTGAGGACAAATAGCGTTGTATTGAGAGATTCTGAAAAGTTAGTATACACATTTAATGAGTTTGTAATGAGATATATAAACATACAAAGTTGTTTATTATTTTTACGATTTCTTATCAGCTAGCAAAACTAGAGTAAAACTAAAAAATGTTAAATTCAATAGCAAAGAAACTATACCGTTCACATATAATGATGTTTTCATACAATAACTTCATTTTGATCGATCAGTTTATATGACAGCTACTATATTCTTGGAAAGAAACGAACATGATGAAAAATTCAGGTCAATATCTCAACAACTGAGGGACTAAATCGCATATAGACAGACAAAGCGACATGGCAAGTCCAACTCAGCTCGTCACGCTGATGATTTATATACATATTTTATATAATCGACTAAGTTTTCTTTTGTATGTGGAAACTTAATATACCCTAAACATTCAAATCTGCAGTTTTTCCCCGGTGCTAAGTGCTGACGTTACTGTCGTTGTAACTTTACTACTTAGATTCGGTTCTGCCACAATAGCGCAACAGCATAATTTCCCACCCTGACAAAAATAAATATATGCACACCACACATATAGAAGCTTTTCACACATACAACAAAAACTAGCATATGCCAACAAAGTATAAAAATTTCCACTCTACATTTTATTATTATAAATATAACTTATTAGGAAGTTTCAATGCTTACCTCATCAGTGGCAGAGTCGGCTATGCAAAGCGCCAAAAATACCAGTGAAATGCTGCAGGTAGAACGAACAAAATTTGAAGTGATCATTTTGGCTACTTGTCTTTGTCCCTGAATGATTCGTTTTTCGATCGGTTGCACTCCCTTTGAGTATGTCGTAATTTATAAGTAGCGAGATTCGCAGGAAAAAAGACTAATTGTATTTGTTAAATAATAAGACTGAGTTTCTTTTTACATTATTAGTTTCAAATGGAATAAATAAATGCACAAAGCTGACAAAAATTACTGTATACGTCTGTAAACAGATGTCATTGAGCTGGAGCTACTAGAATTGTATCGAAGTAACGATATCAAACCGATATTTAGTAAAAAATTTATTACGAGGTCTGCTGTAATATATTTTTATGGTGAATTTTCACATCTCTAAGTTGGAGATGCCACTTCACGCCGTTAGTATAATAAAAAACACTTAGCGCTGCCATCACGAACACATATGAAACGCATGTTACTCTATCGGTAGTTTTAAACCTATCGATTGCTGTTTCTTTGCTAACCAACTATCGGTTAATGAACTATTAAATTAACCAAAAGTGCTACCAGGAATTTCTATCAAAGTTTATATGAACAAAATGATCATTCTAACCGAAACAGGTTTAAATTTTATGAGGTCAATGTCACTTTTGTTTACATTTAAACAAGTCCACAATTGTTGTTTAAAATTAGCGTCATCGACTCTTTTGTTTATATTTTATTGGCTCAATGGGCGCTTTGTTTACATTTTTGAGGTTAATAAGTCGTTTGTTTTCATTTGTTCAGGTCTATCACCTTTACAAGATCGCTACAGCAATCTTTATTGAAAACTTCATTTGATGAGATATCTTCACAAAATTTGACATGGGTTATTGCTTAAGGAAATAATGCAATCTTCAAATAAATGATTTTGATTCAAATAACATCACTTCGCGACGTAAGAGTCACCTAAGCACTTGCTAGAAATAGAGCCTGGTATACTTATATAGACACAGCTGGTCGCCAGCTACCGTTGAAGTCATCTTGTGACTTTCAATTCACATCACTGGTCGGCGTGAGCGTCACACGAGCACTGGCCAGACACGGTACCTTCTTTTCTTATATAGAATCCGCTGGTCGAAAGATACCGTTGAAGTCACCCTGTGACTTACAATTCACATCACTGGTCGGCGTGAGTGTCGCACAAGCAATGGCCATGCACGTTGCCTCCTTTTCTTACAGCGCCAGCGGGTCGCCAGCTATTGCTCACTTCTTTATAAAAAAAGCCGAAATATGTACTTACTCTTTTTAGTTTACTCAATTTTGTTTCATTACTTTCCTTGTATAAATAAAATGTAGTATTATTTGTATTTTTAAATTTTTATTCGTAATATTTTTAGTTTTTGTTTTTTACTTACAAGAGTTTTACATGCACTGGATCTCGATACATTTAATTCTTAGTTTTTGGTTATATGCTATAAATATTTGTTTTTTATGTCCAAAAAAAAAAAAAAGGTTTATAAGCCAATAGTTACGGATATTAAGTAAAAATATGTTTAGAAATAAAAATTTTTTATATATTTTTTTGAAACTTCTTCAAGGTGCACAATAAGAGTTTGGTAATGGAGAGCAATAAATTATCTTACAAAACATTGGCAAAGGAAAAAATATGTATTGAAAATAATAATAATAAAAAGTTTAAACATTATTTTTGCATGACTTTGTCGACAGTGTACAAACATAAGAAAATTATTTTACAATATTTACCACGTGTCTGGTATGTATGTATATATTAACTTGGTTTACTTACACTTTGCTATGACTAATATGTTATTAGTGAGTTTGTACAACAATTTAAGGCAATTTATATGAATGTATTATCTTTAATTCTATATGCATGCATATGAGCTAAGGTATTTCTGTATGTGCTTATGTCACTATGCACTATATGTATGTAAATTTTTTATTACTTACACTAATGAGTTTTATTTCATTTTTTTGAATTTTAATATAATTTGTTTGTTGTTATAATAATATATTTTTTATTATAATAAATCATTCAACACAGGCGTTACTTTTATGCATATGTTTGTATGTATGTATATGTTTGTTGACTGAAGTTTGACTACATATTTTGATATAAGTAAAATAAATGTAGTTAATATTGGGTAGTCGAAAAAGTCTTTTCGTATTTCTAATCAAACTTCAACTTTTTTGGTGATTGGTAGCACTCGAGATGTACGTCTGCAACGACATATATTGGCAAAATACGAAAAGACTTTTTCGACTACCGAATATATGTATAATATAATAACTGTTTACAAAAAGCGGTTCTAATAATTCTGCGCATATTTTTATATGTATTTATGTTGTTAATGGTAATGATAATAATGCACAGGTGATGATTATCAACAGTAAATGATAGGCATGTATGCATGTATATACATATGTATATAAAAATGGATTAACATAAAATTTATATTTAACGCGAGTTTTTACATAAGTATAACGCTTAATTCAACATATAATGTCATTGCACTACAAAATATTGCAAATATAGTAAAAAGTTCATATATGTTTAATTACATATTTATTTATTTTAATGTAGCATGTTCGCCACATGTGCAGCACATTTTTAATATCTCACTTTATTTTACTTAAACAATAATTTTTTATTGTGTTTTGTAAGTTGCTTATGTATGTATATTTTCACTTTTTTCGTTTTATTTTGTTTTTATATTTACATAATTAGTACTACAAAATGTAAATGTTTTTGTTTCAGTTATTTTCTAGACATTAGGTACTTTCAGTTAATGATTAGATTTATTTTTCACAATTCTTCAAACAATTTTTTTTTTACCAACAGTATGCAAGCAACTGTCTGTTTTTTGGTTTGGAAAATATTTACTCAAGCTGTTGCGGTTGTCGTTTTTTATTTTGATAGAAACAAGTGTATCTATATTTCTAAATAAAAAAAAAATATTTATAATTTTTAATAAAAAAAAAACAATTATTTATACTTTTAAATTAAAAAATATGAACACTTTTTATTAAACAGAAAATTGGATATTATCATCAAAAACTAATCGTTTATAAATAAAATATTCGAATTTATAAGTTCCACACCGCATTTCAACACCCTCACTTAGGAGAAAGAATCATTTTGAATAGATTTTTTCCTTAAAAAACGGCGTACCGTGTGTACCAAATACATTTTTAATTTTCTAAATTTATGGGTAAAGCCAAATTTAAAATTTCTTCAATGAAAATATGCCCCATGCGATTCTGCGAATTTCTAAATTTATATATATTTTCTCTACCAGTAGTTTAGGAGTTATTTTGCCACCAAATTGAATGCAATTTTTCTGCAGCGGCACCCGATGCACCAAAAATTTGCAGCATACACAAAGGTGCGAAATGAGGAACACGGAACATGGAACCAAACCGGAAGTACATAATAACCCGGAAACGGATGTAATCACAACCGAAAATGACCGGTCTTATATTTATGCCGGAAATGGGAAACGGAAGTGTTGAATTTTACTTCCGGTTAAATTCCGTATTTCCGGTTCGAGGACTCCCGTTTCCGGTTCATAACTTGGGTACCGTTATTCCATTTCCATCCAAAAACCCCCGTTTCCGGTTTACAAATTCCGATCGTGTTTTATGCCGGAAGTTGGTTAACGCTATTCCACTTCCTGTCAATAACTTCCGTTTCCGGTTTACAACTTCCGGTTGGTTTTCATACCGGAAGTTAAGTACCGTTATTTCATTTACGGTCGTGTTGCTTTTCCTGTTTCTGGGCATTGCATATGTCCGTATCCGTGTATGCATTGTACATATATGCCCGCATCCGTGTTCCCAATTTCGCCCCTTTGTGTATGCTGCAAATTTCTGGTGCATCGGGCGCCGCTGCAGAAAAAATTGCTTTCAATTTGGTGGCAAAATCTCAGATTTCTACCAGGTGCCCAGGAACATGTAGCAAGCAGCTACCGAATACAAAAATGCTTATAACTTCTAAACTACTGGTCGTAGAGAAAATATAAAAATTCAAATGTGGATTCACCCATAAATTTAGAAAAATAAAAATGTGTACCAAATCGCCCATTTATAAAGATATTAGGCATTAAATGCCTCAGCATTTTGATTATAAAAGTTAGTTAAACTAAAAATAAAATTTGTAATATTAAAAAATTCTTAACCATGCATATTTATACTTTATTTTGGTATGTGGATTTATTTTTTATTACATACAAATAATTATTGTTTATGAAACATTTGAAATAAAAATACATACATACGTACAGCTATCATACCTGTAAAACCACAATAACAACAATTTGAGTAAATGCTGCAACTTTAAATGGTTTCAGTTCCATAAACCAATAACAATCGCTATTAACAATTTTAAAATTTCAGAAAATATTCAAATATTAAAGAATTCATAACCTCACATTATTTAGTTTGAATCTTCTCCTTCTTTACTATTATAGCCGCAAAAGAAGAAAGTTTAAATATCAACAATTATTTCCACTTCTTAGCATAATTTAATTGAAATAGAAAAATATTCATTGCGCTCATGATGTGATGTTTTAACATTATAAATTAAATTTTCAGTCAGTCAAAAATATTAAAAAAATTAATTCTTTAAACAAAAATGAAATCAACAATAATTTTATTCACATAAATAATAAATATACATAATAGAAGGTTTCAAACTGAATTTCGAATACATTGTCTACTGTCAAAGTCCTTTAGGACTCCAAAAATACTATCTGCTTAAATTTGATAAACATTCATGTAATTAATAGTTAAATAATATTTATAAAACTATTCATATCAATGCCTAAGAACTGAGAACTTGTTAAGTCATTGTTGACGCTCTCAGTTCTTAGTTGTTAAGTGGGTATTCTTGTCTAGAATTAAAAAAAAATATATTTCTTTATTTTTAAATTTGAACGACATAAGACTTTGCGAAACACATATTTTCATAGAACTGCCAAAACGATACCTACGATTTCTCAGGATCTACTGCAGCGATTTAACTGAAATTTTTGGAGAGTCTTCTTAATGGACTTGTCTATGTCTGGAAATGTCCATATCCACAAATTTAAATTTTTACTATTGAAAAATTTGAAAATTTTTTGATAATTCGAATTTTCTACACAAATACACAAATTGTTTTTTTTTTTTCAAGCATTCGCCATTTCGTAAACAATTCCAATTTTTTTTATAATTTCAGATACTCTTACTGAGATTTTATTCAATATTAATGTTTTTTCCGTTTCAGTTTACTGGGTTGAAATCATGAGTATGGTCACGGGCAAGGTTTTGGGACCCCTCACTTTATCAGCGCGTTAAATTTATAAATTTAAAAAGTTTTTAACTTTTTAATTTTTTTTATTTTGATTTTGTTATCAGGTTGTGAAACATTTATCATTACCTAAGCACAATAACGGAAATGCCATACTTATGCTGTCTCTTATACACATCTAATAAAATCAATTTAAAAAAAAATTAGAAAATCAAATTTAAAAACTAAGAGAAAAATAAACCAAAAGTATTAACCAAAAAATAAAATTAAAAAGCAATTACCAAATACATTTAAAAAACTTTATTATCATAAAATTATATAAAGGATACACTAAAAGTACATGATGGTGACGTGTAAATAGCAAAGCCAATAAAAAATTAGAAAAAAATTTAAGAGCTGTCATAATTAAAGCTTACAATTTAAGTACGCTAGCACATAAAAGTAAAAAATTTAAGATATAACAGATCAGGCTAGTATACACTGAAAAATAAGTCGCAAATTTTTTTTAAATAATATAATTTTTGCTAACAAGTGCACAGTTGCCAGAGTGAATTACAAACAAATACAAAATAAAAGGTTGTACAAAAGGAAATACAACGAATAAAAATATAAAAAATATACACATTAAACTAATGTACACACATATAAAGCATACATAAGTATAATTTAAAAAAATGGAAACACTAAAGAAAGTAAGAACACAAGATGGTATCATCAAGGGCATTCATCACAAACGTTTTGACTGGAAGCGACCAATTTGCGATACACCAATTCACTAGGTGGCCCAACACTCAATGTTTCGTTACCTCGTTTGCGTCGACGGGCTATAATGAAGGCCAGCATAAATGTTAGCGAAGCGAAAAGTAACATTAGAGATGCCACCAGTATGGCAGTGCCACCAGGATGATGTGATTTTGTTGTTAGCTGTGTTGAGATCTGTTCCATTTCAGGTGCGTTCGCACCTAGCGCTGGTTTGTCCGTGTTACTGACGTTAGATTTGAACAAAACTTCGTCCACATGATGTTCCGGGCCGGAGCGACTCAATGTGTTGCTCTTGCTAAGCGTAGTTGTTTTTGCAGCAGACAAAGGCATCGATTTCGCTAGGGTTTTATGTAGAAATTTATGTACACGCATCGGATTCAATTCGGCGACATAAATCTCATTGCCATCCTTGGTGACGGCCACGTCATGTGGATTTGAAAACTGCATATCATTAGGTCCGAACTTTGAGATCACCTGTTTGGTGCGCATATTGATCACATAGCCGCGTACTTCGTTGTAAGGTAGCGATCTGATGCCTAATTCACCGATTGGTCCATTAACAACAACAAGTTGACCGCCTGTACGTATTTTTTTATTATAAATTATTAATTATTTTGTAAAAATTTGACACACAAAAAATATATTTTTTAAATTGTTATGTTAATTTACCTTCCACTGGCGTATAATCCATGCTAAATAAGCGATCGCCTATAATTTGACTATGATATTGTGAATGGAATGTACCGTTGGTCCAATAGAAACACTGCACACGACCATTTTCACGATCAGCTGCGCAGATTAGCTGCTGTTCAGGCACAAGCGTGAGTGCGTGCGGAATGGCGAAGTAGTTCTTTGGCGCCACTTCGAAGGACATGCCTACATAAAGAATTTTTTAAGTTACTATGTAGTGTATATGAAATGTTTTAGTTACTCACCGGAGAATGAGTTTTGTCCCCATGAAAGGATTTTATTGCCAGCTTTGTCATATTTCAAAATACGTGCATTGCAGTAACCATCTGCGACGAAGAAATCACCATTCTCGAGTACGGCAACTGAAGTGGGTTTGCAAAATTTCGAATCACCTACGCCGGGTGTAAAAGCCGTACCCAAAGTCAGCAGGGGTTTATCATTAGAACCGCGTGGACCGAATTTGAAAACTTGATGCAGCGCCACATCGGTTACCCAAGCATTATCCTCATGATCGATGGTCAAACCATGTGGCATATAGAATCTAAAATTAATAATATTTAATATATAACATTTAATTTGTAGTATATATATTACAACTTACAAGTCCTTCCCCCAACCATATACGACATGACCACTTTTACGTTCTAATGCCAATACGGTATTAGCGCGTATGGGTCCTTTTTTACGTTGTTGAAAGACATTGCGGTTGTTGAACGTATTGCCATCCCAAATACGATCTACACGATGAAATATAACCACATTTGCTTCCTTGTCAAAACTTACCGCACTCACTGCACCCAATTTCAGCTCATCAGCTGGCCAAGCACTTTGATACACATAAGCTACAAGCAAGTTAAAGTACAATGTATATATATGGCATACTAAAGTTACTCACTTGTATTTAATTTCTCGATTTCTTCTTTCACATCGATTTTCTCAGCTTTTAATTTAGGTGGCTGTGGCCAACTTATATCAGCTGAGCCGCCTTGCATAATCTGTTGAATGCGCTTATTTTTGCTTAAACTTTTGTCATCTGAGGACAAATAGCGTTGTATTGAGAGATTCTGAAAAGTTAGTATACACATTTAATGAGTTTGTAATGAGATATATAAACATACAAAGTTGTTTATTATTTTTACGATTTCTTATCAGCTAGCAAAACTAGAGTAAAACTAAAAAATGTTAAATTCAATAGCAAAGAAACTATACCGTTCACATATAATGATGTTTTCATACAATAACTTCATTTTGATCGATCAGTTTATATGACAGCTACTATATTCTTGGAAAGAAACGAACATGATGAAAAATTCAGGTCAATATCTCAACAACTGAGGGACTAAATCGCATATAGACAGACAAAGCGACATGGCAAGTCCAACTCAGCTCGTCACGCTGATGATTTATATACATATTTTATATAATCGACTAAGTTTTCTTTTGTATGTGGAAACTTAATATACCCTAAACATTCAAATCTGCAGTTTTTCCCCGGTGCTAAGTGCTGACGTTACTGTCGTTGTAACTTTACTACTTAGATTCGGTTCTGCCACAATAGCGCAACAGCATAATTTCCCACCCTGACAAAAATAAATATATGCACACCACACATATAGAAGCTTTTCACACATACAACAAAAACTAGCATATGCCAACAAAGTATAAAAATTTCCACTCTACATTTTATTATTATAAATATAACTTATTAGGAAGTTTCAATGCTTACCTCATCAGTGGCAGAGTCGGCTATGCAAAGCGCCAAAAATACCAGTGAAATGCTGCAGGTAGAACGAACAAAATTTGAAGTGATCATTTTGGCTACTTGTCTTTGTCCCTGAATGATTCGTTTTTCGATCGGTTGCACTCCCTTTGAGTATGTCGTAATTTATAAGTAGCGAGATTCGCAGGAAAAAAGACTAATTGTATTTGTTAAATAATAAGACTGAGTTTCTTTTTACATTATTAGTTTCAAATGGAATAAATAAATGCACAAAGCTGACAAAAATTACTGTATACGTCTGTAAACAGATGTCATTGAGCTGGAGCTACTAGAATTGTATCGAAGTAACGATATCAAACCGATATTTAGTAAAAAATTTATTACGAGGTCTGCTGTAATATATTTTTATGGTGAATTTTCACATCTCTAAGTTGGAGATGCCACTTCACGCCGTTAGTATAATAAAAAACACTTAGCGCTGCCATCACGAACACATATGAAACGCATGTTACTCTATCGGTAGTTTTAAACCTATCGATTGCTGTTTCTTTGCTAACCAACTATCGGTTAATGAACTATTAAATTAACCAAAAGTGCTACCAGGAATTTCTATCAAAGTTTATATGAACAAAATGATCATTCTAACCGAAACAGGTTTAAATTTTATGAGGTCAATGTCACTTTTGTTTACATTTAAACAAGTCCACAATTGTTGTTTAAAATTAGCGTCATCGACTCTTTTGTTTATATTTTATTGGCTCAATGGGCGCTTTGTTTACATTTTTGAGGTTAATAAGTCGTTTGTTTTCATTTGTTCAGGTCTATCACCTTTACAAGATCGCTACAGCAATCTTTATTGAAAACTTCATTTGATGAGATATCTTCACAAAATTTGACATGGGTTATTGCTTAAGGAAATAATGCAATCTTCAAATAAATGATTTTGATTCAAATAACATCACTTCGCGACGTAAGAGTCACCTAAGCACTTGCTAGAAATAGAGCCTGGTATACTTATATAGACACAGCTGGTCGCCAGCTACCGTTGAAGTCATCTTGTGACTTTCAATTCACATCACTGGTCGGCGTGAGCGTCACACGAGCACTGGCCAGACACGGTACCTTCTTTTCTTATATAGAATCCGCTGGTCGAAAGATACCGTTGAAGTCACCCTGTGACTTACAATTCACATCACTGGTCGGCGTGAGTGTCGCACAAGCAATGGCCATGCACGTTGCCTCCTTTTCTTACAGCGCCAGCGGGTCGCCAGCTATTGCTCACTTCTTTATAAAAAAAGCCGAAATATGTACTTACTCTTTTTAGTTTACTCAATTTTGTTTCATTACTTTCCTTGTATAAATAAAATGTAGTATTATTTGTATTTTTAAATTTTTATTCGTAATATTTTTAGTTTTTGTTTTTTACTTACAAGAGTTTTACATGCACTGGATCTCGATACATTTAATTCTTAGTTTTTGGTTATATGCTATAAATATTTGTTTTTTATGTCCAAAAAAAAAAAAAAGGTTTATAAGCCAATAGTTACGGATATTAAGTAAAAATATGTTTAGAAATAAAAATTTTTTATATATTTTTTTGAAACTTCTTCAAGGTGCACAATAAGAGTTTGGTAATGGAGAGCAATAAATTATCTTACAAAACATTGGCAAAGGAAAAAATATGTATTGAAAATAATAATAATAAAAAGTTTAAACATTATTTTTGCATGACTTTGTCGACAGTGTACAAACATAAGAAAATTATTTTACAATATTTACCACGTGTCTGGTATGTATGTATATATTAACTTGGTTTACTTACACTTTGCTATGACTAATATGTTATTAGTGAGTTTGTACAACAATTTAAGGCAATTTATATGAATGTATTATCTTTAATTCTATATGCATGCATATGAGCTAAGGTATTTCTGTATGTGCTTATGTCACTATGCACTATATGTATGTAAATTTTTTATTACTTACACTAATGAGTTTTATTTCATTTTTTTGAATTTTAATATAATTTGTTTGTTGTTATAATAATATATTTTTTATTATAATAAATCATTCAACACAGGCGTTACTTTTATGCATATGTTTGTATGTATGTATATGTTTGTTGACTGAAGTTTGACTACATATTTTGATATAAGTAAAATAAATGTAGTTAATATTGGGTAGTCGAAAAAGTCTTTTCGTATTTCTAATCAAACTTCAACTTTTTTGGTGATTGGTAGCACTCGAGATGTACGTCTGCAACGACATATATTGGCAAAATACGAAAAGACTTTTTCGACTACCGAATATATGTATAATATAATAACTGTTTACAAAAAGCGGTTCTAATAATTCTGCGCATATTTTTATATGTATTTATGTTGTTAATGGTAATGATAATAATGCACAGGTGATGATTATCAACAGTAAATGATAGGCATGTATGCATGTATATACATATGTATATAAAAATGGATTAACATAAAATTTATATTTAACGCGAGTTTTTACATAAGTATAACGCTTAATTCAACATATAATGTCATTGCACTACAAAATATTGCAAATATAGTAAAAAGTTCATATATGTTTAATTACATATTTATTTATTTTAATGTAGCATGTTCGCCACATGTGCAGCACATTTTTAATATCTCACTTTATTTTACTTAAACAATAATTTTTTATTGTGTTTTGTAAGTTGCTTATGTATGTATATTTTCACTTTTTTCGTTTTATTTTGTTTTTATATTTACATAATTAGTACTACAAAATGTAAATGTTTTTGTTTCAGTTATTTTCTAGACATTAGGTACTTTCAGTTAATGATTAGATTTATTTTTCACAATTCTTCAAACAATTTTTTTTTTACCAACAGTATGCAAGCAACTGTCTGTTTTTTGGTTTGGAAAATATTTACTCAAGCTGTTGCGGTTGTCGTTTTTTATTTTGATAGAAACAAGTGTATCTATATTTCTAAATAAAAAAAAAATATTTATAATTTTTAATAAAAAAAAAACAATTATTTATACTTTTAAATTAAAAAATATGAACACTTTTTATTAAACAGAAAATTGGATATTATCATCAAAAACTAATCGTTTATAAATAAAATATTCGAATTTATAAGTTCCACACCGCATTTCAACACCCTCACTTAGGAGAAAGAATCATTTTGAATAGATTTTTTCCTTAAAAAACGGCGTACCGTGTGTACCAAATACATTTTTAATTTTCTAAATTTATGGGTAAAGCCAAATTTAAAATTTCTTCAATGAAAATATGCCCCATGCGATTCTGCGAATTTCTAAATTTATATATATTTTCTCTACCAGTAGTTTAGGAGTTATTTTGCCACCAAATTGAATGCAATTTTTCTGCAGCGGCACCCGATGCACCAAAAATTTGCAGCATACACAAAGGTGCGAAATGAGGAACACGGAACATGGAACCAAACCGGAAGTACATAATAACCCGGAAACGGATGTAATCACAACCGAAAATGACCGGTCTTATATTTATGCCGGAAATGGGAAACGGAAGTGTTGAATTTTACTTCCGGTTAAATTCCGTATTTCCGGTTCGAGGACTCCCGTTTCCGGTTCATAACTTGGGTACCGTTATTCCATTTCCATCCAAAAACCCCCGTTTCCGGTTTACAAATTCCGATCGTGTTTTATGCCGGAAGTTGGTTAACGCTATTCCACTTCCTGTCAATAACTTCCGTTTCCGGTTTACAACTTCCGGTTGGTTTTCATACCGGAAGTTAAGTACCGTTATTTCATTTACGGTCGTGTTGCTTTTCCTGTTTCTGGGCATTGCATATGTCCGTATCCGTGTATGCATTGTACATATATGCCCGCATCCGTGTTCCCAATTTCGCCCCTTTGTGTATGCTGCAAATTTCTGGTGCATCGGGCGCCGCTGCAGAAAAAATTGCTTTCAATTTGGTGGCAAAATCTCAGATTTCTACCAGGTGCCCAGGAACATGTAGCAAGCAGCTACCGAATACAAAAATGCTTATAACTTCTAAACTACTGGTCGTAGAGAAAATATAAAAATTCAAATGTGGATTCACCCATAAATTTAGAAAAATAAAAATGTGTACCAAATCGCCCATTTATAAAGATATTAGGCATTAAATGCCTCAGCATTTTGATTATAAAAGTTAGTTAAACTAAAAATAAAATTTGTAATATTAAAAAATTCTTAACCATGCATATTTATACTTTATTTTGGTATGTGGATTTATTTTTTATTACATACAAATAATTATTGTTTATGAAACATTTGAAATAAAAATACATACATACGTACAGCTATCATACCTGTAAAACCACAATAACAACAATTTGAGTAAATGCTGCAACTTTAAATGGTTTCAGTTCCATAAACCAATAACAATCGCTATTAACAATTTTAAAATTTCAGAAAATATTCAAATATTAAAGAATTCATAACCTCACATTATTTAGTTTGAATCTTCTCCTTCTTTACTATTATAGCCGCAAAAGAAGAAAGTTTAAATATCAACAATTATTTCCACTTCTTAGCATAATTTAATTGAAATAGAAAAATATTCATTGCGCTCATGATGTGATGTTTTAACATTATAAATTAAATTTTCAGTCAGTCAAAAATATTAAAAAAATTAATTCTTTAAACAAAAATGAAATCAACAATAATTTTATTCACATAAATAATAAATATACATAATAGAAGGTTTCAAACTGAATTTCGAATACATTGTCTACTGTCAAAGTCCTTTAGGACTCCAAAAATACTATCTGCTTAAATTTGATAAACATTCATGTAATTAATAGTTAAATAATATTTATAAAACTATTCATATCAATGCCTAAGAACTGAGAACTTGTTAAGTCATTGTTGACGCTCTCAGTTCTTAGTTGTTAAGTGGGTATTCTTGTCTAGAATTAAAAAAAAATATATTTCTTTATTTTTAAATTTGAACGACATAAGACTTTGCGAAACACATATTTTCATAGAACTGCCAAAACGATACCTACGATTTCTCAGGATCTACTGCAGCGATTTAACTGAAATTTTTGGAGAGTCTTCTTAATGGACTTGTCTATGTCTGGAAATGTCCATATCCACAAATTTAAATTTTTACTATTGAAAAATTTGAAAATTTTTTGATAATTCGAATTTTCTACACAAATACACAAATTGTTTTTTTTTTTTCAAGYATTCGCCATTTCGTAAACAATTCCAATTTTTTTTATAATTTCAGATACTCTTACTGAGATTTTATTCAATATTAATGTTTTTTCCGTTTCAGTTTACTGGGTTGAAATCATGAGTATGGTCACGGGCAAGGTTTTGGGACCCCTCACTTTATCAGCGCGTTAAATTTATAAATTTAAAAAGTTTTTAACTTTTTAATTTTTTTTATTTTGATTTTTTTTTTGCTTTTTTTCTGTATTCTTGTGTCAAGTGTAACTTTTTTGAGACTTGCCAATTCTCCAGCTCCCAATTTTTTAAATTTTTAACTTTTTTTTTTTTGACTTTTTTCAGTATTCTTTCAAAGTTTATAAATACTAATGGGAAAATGTTTAGTAAAAAACATTGATTGCCTTCTTTTAGAACACTTCAAAAATCTAAAATTCATGCCTCTAGACTAGAAAACCACCTTAAGAAAAATCCAGAAAAAACTACATATTTTAAAATGTTCTCGCAAATATTCATTAAAACTTTCTAGCTTTTCAGTTTCATAAAATTTTTGATTTCATAATTACCATAATTAATAATAATATATTAATAAAAAAATACATGCATAAAATATAATTTTTAATATAAAATTTATTACATAATAAAATATTGCATATTTTTTGATTTCATTAAAAAAAAAATTCTCATTTACTCCTCCTTTGAATGCATTAATTTCTCTTGATGCTGCTCAAAAGAAACAATAACAAACGCCAAATTGAGCGCCAATTAGTAAAAGTGACGGCACAACACTATAGCGTGTGTGCTAGAGCGAGATAGAGCTAGTTCGAGAGAATGAAACTTTTTGTAGCTGCAGACCCGCTGCACGCTACTCTTAGATTTCGGGGCATCAACTGTTAACTCACCTAAACAGCGGTGAGTTACAGAGATCTCGTGCTAAATAATTTACAAAAACGACACAAATCGACACGAACGCATGTCGCAGTGATACAGTTATGTGCGTTTAACATAAACGTGTTTAACAAATTATTTGAAATTATTTAACAAAGGATGCGTTTAGCCAATATGAACTTAGTTTTGCCAGCCAGTTGGCTTGCAGTAGCACTTACACACACATACATATTTAGTTGCATGCATTTACTTGCAGCTTATAGGCATATGTACATATGTATGTATATGTTTACAAACGTTTACATGTCAATTTTTTTTTTATAAATAACTTTTTTAATATATAAACTTTTGTTATATAAATATTTTTTATATATGTATGTATATGTAAATAATATAAAAAAAAAATTAAATAATGACGTAACAACTAAAATCACCTGCGCCGCACTCAGTAACTGATTTTCTTGCGCAGCTTTAGTTTTGTCTCGCGCTCGCGCTCGACCGCCAACACCGCCGCCGCGGCATAGCGCGCGCCACTGCCGCGCTGCAAATACAAACCATGCGCAGTGTTGGCCGCTGTCGGTGTCGGTATGCCCGATGTGGAAGTCGACGACGCCGACGAAGCAGTGGACGACTCGAGCATAGTGTTGTTGGTCGTCGTTGGCGCCGCCGCTGCGTTGGTTAAGTGATGACGCGTGCGATAGCCGCCAACATGTGACACCGTGCGGTTGCTGCCGCCGGCAATTAGCTCAGCGCCAGCAGCAACACTACCACCGTCGGTGCAACTACTTAGCTGGTTGTTGTTATTGTTATTGTTAGCGTTATTGCTCCCACTGGCGCATGTGTTGCTGCTGTTACTCTGCATTGTCGCATTGCCATTGCTGCCAGCTGTTTTGCGCAGTAGCTTCGTATTGTACTCATCGCATTTGTCCTTTTCGAGGCGCGTGCTGCTCAGCGAACGTTTATTGCGTTTCGTGATGCCCGTTGGGATGCCAGTAGGTGAGGCGCGCGCAGCAGTAGTTGTTGTTGAGTTGGCGCCGGCTGCTGATGTGTTGACCGCATCGTAACTGCCGCCGCCGCGTCCGCTGCCAGCGCCGCAATTTGTGTTGCTACTCAGACGGTTTGTATCTAGAGGCGGTGTGGAACGCAAATTTTCATTTATTTGTACATTAATATGGTTATTATTATTATTATTGTTGTTGTTGTTGTTGCTATTATTATTATTATTAATATAGTTGATATTATGCTTGTTGGCATTACTGCCATGACTATGATGGTGATGATGTCGCTGATAATAAATATGCGATTTTGGCAGCGACGTCGACTGTGTCACTTTATTGTTGTGCGCAAAGGCACTAGCGCCGCGCGCATCGCCGCCTTGTAATGGATTCGAATTTAGATCAAGCGTTGCCGAAATGGAACGCGCGCCACCGGCAACACCACCACCAACACTACAACCAGTATCACCACCACCACCGCCAGCGTCTAATGGCGTGGAAGCCGCTGTAGTTGTTGCGCTCGAAATTGTCGGTATTGCGGACGCGTCGCGGTAGTAACGCGCTGTTACAGTTGTGCAAGGCGGCTCCACAGCCGCACCAACCGCGGCAGCACCCGCGCGATTATAGCGTATACGCGAGCGCCCACGCAATGTCATGTGATGATGTGGCGCGCGTGAGGCACCGCCGCGCGTTGGTGGTATTGTAGCGCATGAGCCTATACCGCTACCGCTACTGCTGGCTGACGTTGTCGTCGGCGCGCCGCTCCCATCGATAAACGCCGCGTTTGCGCGCACCACCGGTATCTTGCTCTCATTCATGCCGGCTGTCGCGACATTCGATGTCGAACTAATCAAAGTGTTGTTGTACGTTTTCGTTTGCTTGTTGAGACTGCTCAACGTGGGCGTGGTGACATCGTGATGATGGTGGTGGTGATGATGATGCGGCAGCGCGCAGCCGCTGCTTGTGGTCGCCGTTGTGTTGTTATCTGCGGCTATATTTCCAATTGCGGTATTGCTATTGTTATTGCTCAGCTGCTGCTGTTGTTGTTGCAGTTGTTGTGTTTCCGCTTTGCGTAAGTGCATAAAACCCATTCTGTATATTATTACAAGATTGTCAGGTTGTAACGTTTTTTGTTTCGGTTAAAGGAGTCGGTATGAATTTGTTTCATCGGTGCGTTTTCAATTAGTAGTGGAACAGGAGTGTTTAAAGCAACCCCAGAAATACCGTAGAATATTTATATTAATATATATGTATGTATATGCGCAGATATTGTAGTGGTTTGGGCAGTGGAAGTTAAAGAGAGAGAAAAAGTAGAAGAATATCTTTGGATTAATTCATATTTCATAGACGGTGGTTTTTTCTACTAGTCTAATCTTGAAACAGTGTTGCATTTTCGTACTTTTAAGCGGCAGAGAGCTTTTGTAATGCGTTATAAATGATTCTAAGCTTAAAAAAAAAAAAATAAAATAAAAAAAAATTAATTTGACGATTGTAGCATATTTTTTAACAATTAAATAGTTAGAAATTTAAAGTATATTTTTTTTACTGAAAACAGAATTTTTTACCAACTAAACCCGATTTTGACTAAATCTGTATTTATGGTAAAAATCGGTAATTAATATCCTCCTAATTCTAAGCATTTTTTTTTAATTTTTTTTCAACCCTTTCTTTCATTTCTTTTGTCTTATATTTTTAAAAATTTAATTTTTACCAACTAAATCCGACTTTTAGTAAGTCCGTGTATTTAATTAATAACAATAAATAATTTGTGCTTAATTGTAGGCAATTTTTATTTATAATTAAGTTTTTAAAGCATTTCTTTTTTTCTTATATTTTATTTTCGAATATTTTTGCTTTTTGAATACTTTACTTTTTAATGTTTTTTTTTTATATATTACTTTAAAAAAATCTTTACCTTAAACATTTAATACTTAAAATTCATTAACTAACTCAAATGTTGAATAATTTTATGAAATTGAAAATATTTTTGATCATATATTATTTAACATTCAAACATTTTTTTTTTATTAAGAAATTAACCTTTAACTAACAAATACCGATTTTCACTGATTGATATGCGCCTAAATGTAGCAACTTTTTCTATCTATATTCAAGTTATTAAGGGAATACATGGGCTTACGGGTTTCAAAATCAAATTTTTTTATTGTCTTTATTAAATTTTAAAAGACCTCTAGAATAATGTCCTAAATTTTCAAGTTTTCTCGATTGGCAAGATTTATCGAGAACTACTCAACCGATCTTTATGAAATTTAATTTTACACAGCTCTTTGTGATACAATTATTTTAGACGTGGACGAAGAATTTTTTCAATTACAACTATTTAAAAAAGGATTTTTTTTTTTATTTTTGTTGAGATTTGTTGATATATGTGTAGTTTTGTAAGCTATTAATTTTCCATTTTTAGTTTTTTTTTTTTACTATTTTTATGACTTAAAAACTTTTTTACGATTTTTTTATATTTATGGCTTCAAAAAAATTTTTATTTTAAAAACTATTTTTGCTGATTTCATTAAGCTTCAAAGTTGTAGACTTCAAATTCAATATTTTATATATTTTTATATTTTTTAATATATTTAATATATTTGAAATATTTTTATTATTTAATTTAAAACAGTTTTTTATTTATTATTCTTTCTATTACTTTAACAATAAAAGCAACACTGTTTCAAATATTTTCATACATAAAAATAAAAAGCCCTCAATAGCAAAAATTCAATGAATCTTTGCCTCATTGCTGAAATGCCAAAGCCGCAGGAAAACGGACGGGAGCTTGGTAGGTGTGAAAGAAGAGCGAAAGAACTAGCAGAATTAGCACAAACTACTTACAAAAAAGAACAATCAAATAAAAATCAATGCACGCAGACGAAATAACCATATATACAAATGTTGAATATAAAAAATCAAAACGTAGCAAATGCTTCAAAGAGGGAAATAAAGGATTTATTTACAAAATAAAGTTAGAGGAAACAGCGATGCCATACAAACTCAAATGCAAACAGACGATTAGAAAAATATTTGCCAAAAGTATGTAATGCCGAAAAAGTGTTTGCATAAACAAAACAAAAACAAATTCATAATTTGGTTGCGGTAAATCGATTTGGTGTTTATTAATAATATATAATTGGTTTTTATTTGATTTTATAAAAGTATTAATTAATTCATGCAAATAACGCTTATGTTATTGTAAAATATTAATTTTATTAATATTTAATCTTAATTAATTTCATTAATTTTAATGCTAATGCTTAGCTGCATACAATATTTAGCTAAAAACTATATATTTTAATTTTTAGAAAATTTTCAAATAGTTTTTGTTTTTTTTTCTAATAAACAAAGAACCTGGCAATAATATAAGGCGTTACGACTGTATGTAATTTAATTACTATAATTAATAATATGTAAATATTTTGAGGAAAAATCGACACTAGCTGTAGTAGTTTAGAGAATAATTTAACTGAAAGCACGCTGCACAAAGGTTTTCGAAATATAAAATTATAGCTTATAAGCGCGATATGGTACATATAATAGGTTGTCGAAAAAGTCTTGCGGTATTTTTATTGAATTTTCAATTGTTCATAAAAAAACAAAAAAACTCATGCCCAGCTCTTGACCGATGCTACGGCTGCTACTATGCCGGTCTCCTTCGACCAATTCAGCGATTTTATCGCAATTTTCGACGACAGGCCTTCCGGAGCGTGGCGCATCTTCGACCACATCTACACCAGAACGAAAACGTTGAAACCATCGTTGTGCGATGGAAATGGAAACTGTGTCG